CCCGTTGCTCTCTTCAGATTAACGGAGAAGCAGTGGAGCAGGTGGAGAAGTTCAAGTACCTCGGAACTGTGTTTACTAGTGGTGGAAAATTGGAGGAAGAGATCGACCGGCGAATTGGAGTAGCCAGTGGCGTTCTGCGCGAACTAGCCCGACCCACTGTGACTAAGGCAGAGCTCGGTCTGAAAACTAAGCTCTCAATATTCAAGTCGATCTTTATCCCCATGCTTATCTACGGTCACCAATCGTAGATGGACCATCACTGAAAACTTCGAACCGAGTACAGGCAGCTGAAATGGGGACCTTACGCATCTGGACATGGCCTGGAATACGGATTTCCGTTAGGGCCTTGGTGTACAACCGCTGCTTCTTTAGATTGAGAAGTCACAAGTGCTATAGTTTGGGTGGGTGTTACGAATGCCTCCAGAAAGAAAGGCTAAGCAATTGTTTCTTGCGAAACCAACGGGCAGAAGGCCGAGGGAACGGCTAAGATTAACGTGGTGCAAATATATGGAAGGAGCCTGTTCCAGACTGCAGTTGTCTTGCTGATGTTCCCGATGCTCAGACTCTGGCGCAGGACCGGGAAGTTTGGAGGCACTGTCTTATGCGTCTGCCTTCGCGAGCTGAAAAGAGAAGCGGTCATGGAAGATGAAGATGGTCTGCCTTATAGCCTCGTAGCGTAGTTTGATCTACGAAGTTGGTAGCGCAGAGGAACAGATTTTGATCCAGATGCATAAACTTTTTCAACGTATTCCATGTGATTAGTTTCCTCTTCATGAAAATACCAATATGGGTACACTGACGGTCATTCAGAATAAATTAATACTTGCGGTAAAGTGATGAGAAAACAACCCGAATGCTTAATGGTGGTGTGACCGTTGCGATGCTCAAGTTTAGGGCAAAACACTGAAAATACTGAGTAATTGTGAACGTCCATTCATTTGAACATTTCAAAGGCTGCCACAGTTTGCTGGAATGTTAGAATGACGCTTTTGAAGGACAGACAGCATTATGAAAAGTTTTATTCTCTCTTCAGGGTCATTATTATTATTATTCTAGATGATTCCTTTGATCTGCATCCCTAAAGATTTGATTAGTTTGGTTGTTTACCATTTAGCAATGATTAGCCAAGTTTTGTGTATTCCGTGTGCATACGTGCGTGTGATTATCATCTTGAGCCGTTTGTATAAACAGAAAGTCTCTGGTTTATGATTTCCGTTGTATTCGCAGTTTTGCAATACTTTTGTCATAAGGCACCGGTTATTTTATCATAGAAGGAAATATTCCTCTCTGAAAGATGATATGCCTATTCTTTGTTTATCCGGATTGCATGCTAGCTTTCCATTTGACTGTTGCCATGTTTCAGCTCCCACACGAGAAGCTAGCAGACTGTAGGAGATGACATCTGCTCAGCCAGTTTGTCTAACGAGGTTAACCTCTTTTTCATAATCTCCGCAGTTAAGGAATAGTAGGGTAATCGCAGCGTTATCATTCGTAATTCTTTTTGAACAAACAAGCTTTCTGAACACTGGTGTCAAACGCTATTTTTGTATACTTCACCTTCCTTTAAGAATGAGGGGTTTTGTAAACGAATCTTTCTTCTCATTCACGCAGCTTCAGTTGTGCCCAGCGAACAACAGGAGCAGTTGTAGCCTGCGTTTGGAAACAAAAGAGTAACAGAATTTTAGATAAGAATTTGTGCCGCAGTAATTACAATATTTTATTTGAATTTTACGATATTTGCTTTTATTCCTTCATAACTCTGGTAGTATTTGTTTTGTGTGAACTTTCGTCTGTTATAGGCGGTTCAACAGTCAGAAGACTGGAAAGATGCCACCAAGCGGGAAACTCTCGACAGCTTAAATTTCGAACTGGAACGGTTACTGGATTCGGCGCCTCCGCAGGAAGTTCCCGTACGCTTAACTTTTTTTATTTTTCAATTTGCTTAACTGTCCAGTTATAATAATTTAATAATGACTTAATTGTCCATATATATTTTATTACCATGTTTGTTGCTACATACATTTTTTAACAGATTCCCCTTTCGAACAGCGTTCATTCCTCCTTCAGTGTTACAGTATAATATGTTAAAGTCGGAAAATCTTGTATGTATAAGCATGTTGTTATAGATGTAATTGCAAAATACGATTTAAATAACATTACAATAAAAGATTCTTACTCTGTGTAATCACTATTTTGCTGCCGCATTGTTTTTCATTTTTAAGCTTTCTCTGATGTACGCGTTTCAAGAGTTCTCGCTAAAAACCAGGCAAGGTTACTTAGCAGTGTCATGTGTTATAGACACTAAATATTACTCTGAAAAAATATAGTCAGTTTAAAAATTCGATGTTTTGTTCACTCATTTCATAACATTGCAAACTGTGTCATCATTTAAAAAATTCGCAGAAAAATAATGTTATATTCATGATTTTGGTTCATATTTACGTTGTAATTTACATGATATATCATGTTTTTGTGTGATTCACTTTCCATGAAATATAACACGAGTGGCAAGAACGTCTCTTCACTTTGAACCTTCCATTAATGGTTAGGGTACCGAAGTAGTCTTTTCAAAATTCTGACTGTTCCTAGTAAGGGTTTCCAGTTAGTCCATATTGACCGCTTCCTCACTTGATTAAAATATTCGCTGATATTTTTCACTTCTTCGAGAGTACCAGACACCACCAAAAATATTTCCGTTTTTATTTTCTAGTTCTTTAGTACTTCTATTTTCAATTCTTGATTCTTCAGTGTTTTCTCATTTTTTAACAACAATGTTACCATTGATAAGTTATGCTATATAGGCAATGTTTATAGATACTACCGTATTTTCCCATCGATAATGCACACCTTGTAGTATTATTCCTCATGAAAACGTATAGATAGCGTGCAGTGTATTTAGTGTCTGAAAATAGGCAGTTTTTGGACAAATGAATAATGGAATAATATGACTGGCTGTGGCTGTATCTAAAACAAACGAACAGGGGAATTAACAGGAGTGACCATATTGCTTCTGGACTTTGAACGATGACGTGTATTCTGCATATGTTTAGTTTTTAACTTTGAAAGTTGCTTCTGAGAAACCTTGCCCTTGGAGAAAAAATACTCTGCGGTGAAAATTTTATGCAGCAGTGTCAAAGCTAGAAGCTGTTAATTTCGTGAACGAAAAAGGGAATTGTGAGGCAGCCAGTCCACTGTGCGAGAATGGAGCAAAGGAAAAGCAGTTCTAAAATTGTAAGAAACGTGCAATGAGGTAAAGACGATGCTTCTGGCCAGAGCTCGAAAAAAAACACTTACCGAGTGGGTTTTCTTAGAGAGATCGAAAGGACATAAGGTGTCAACGAGCAGTATTTTTATGCAGGAGAGAAAGACAAAATGGAAAATGAAGCTTACTCATCATTGCATTCAGGTTTATGAAAAAAAGCATTTGTGTATTCCTTCATCCTCGAGTGTTGGGTAAAATTTTTTCGTTTTTCATTGCATAACGTGCTGCGTTGCTTTTTGTTTGTTGACGACTTTTTTGTGTAGATAACATGCGCGTTATCGATGGCAAAATACGGAATTATTTGCGTTAGGTTTATATAACTATTTGTATATATTTTCTATATACAGTGATACACAGATTTAATTTTCTCTAAACAGTGTCTATAATTTATTTATCTATCGTTTCTTTCGATTTTGAATTCTTGCCTTTTAGTATTGGCAGAAGGAGTTTGCCGGATTTAAGCGAATGTTTAGCCGGTTTCTCAAGTCGAAGCCGACCATCACATGGAGCAAAATCGAGCCATTGCAGAGCGAATCCGTAAGTTTTTTTTCTCTTTCTGTTTTTACTCTAAGCCGTGTTTTTTAGATCAAGCCGTTTTTTGAACTCGAAGCACCTCAGAATGAGATGATCAAAGAACAGCTCAACAAGTTAATTGTCGTTAAATTGAATGGAGGACTTGGCACCAGCATGGGTTGCAAAGGACCTAAAAGTCTGATTGCTGTGCGTCATGATCTGACGTTCATCGACATTGTAATGCAGCAGATCCAGGTAAACATGTTTTACAGTATAATTTTGTTCAGCGTGTAATATCC